GAAACTTTATTGAGTACATGGAAGAAAAAAAGTTTTACTCCCCTGTTTGTCCTGACCTTTAACTTTGACAATGGAACTCAGAAAATGTAGGGTTGTTTTAGGTCTTTAGAGAGGAATAGCTTGAGGCTAGTCTTAAGATGGTTATCTTACTTTCCCAAACTTTCTGTCTTTTCTATAGTTTAAGATAAGAATAGAGAATGTTAAGATTATTGATCAATGTGGTATATGTGATTAGCTTATTATAAAAGGAGTCATGAATAAAGACAATTTGCTACATGCCACCCAAAAGTATGTAGTCATTTCTTGCTTTCATACAATTCCAGGAGCAAGCTTGCACCCGCGGCCAAGCCATCCGGCTTTCCCCATGAGAAAATACCACCCAACACATGCCCTTACCTAGAGCATTACTTCTATACGAAAATCTATCAGGCCTTAATGAAATCCATTTACATTCTACTGTATCTATGGGGTACTGTGCTGATTAAAAAAATGAGATAAAATCCTTCCCTTTGAGAGGTTTATAAACTGAAAGTATAAATTATAGGAGATTCATATGCTGTGAGTTAAATAAGTCTAAATTTAAATGACTATTGCAAGTGGTCTAAGAAAAAAGGGTCACAGAAGATTCACTGTGATTGGAGAATTTTTCTCTGGAGGTAAGACTTAGGCTAGACCTTCAAGAGCACAGTGTTTAGCATGTACCAAATGCTAAACAGATGCTGGTCTTCTTTCCTTTCCTTTGAGAAGCCTGGCAACTGCATAACATCAACAAAAATAAAGAGATTGTTCCAATTGAGACGTCAGCTATAGTAGAAAAATGATTAGTATGTTCAGAGCAGAAATAAGTACAAGTGGAAATAAGGGGGCCAACTCAGAATAATTATTATAAGTAAACACATAAATTTGTAAATATCTGCATAGAAATAAACATGAAAGAAATAAAAATGAGGCTCGGTGCCTGTGGCTCAAGCGGCTAAGGCGCCAGCCACATACACCTAAGGTGGCGGGTTCGAATCC